ATACCGGTCGGGGACACATTCTCGAGCAAAGGCCGAGGGAACTGCTGACACCAATTCGTACCGTCATATATTATATATGTCACAAACGCCTGAGGCTAGACTGTGTGCCAAACAAATCGTAATACAATAATCTTTCTAAAAAAGAAAATCGTTCCACGATTTACTTGAGGGCCGAACACTGCCAGGTTGCCCAGGCCAAGACTGATGAGTTATCCTGAGGAATCCACAACCGGAGCCTGCAGGGGGCCAAAGCCTGACCCGCAAGGCAGCGGGATGGTGTGTGAAAACCGCAATCCATTGGGAGCCGGTGTCCGGTTCATCGAATCATACACTCTTTGGACGGAATAAAACGTCCAAGGTGCCCAATACACCTTGATGCTCATTTGAGCCGGTGACCACTGCCACAACCACTGAGGTGTGTGTGATTCATACTCCTCTTGGTTGGTTTAGAATCAAAGGTTTTTGGTACAGTAATCTCAAGATTCCTTATTTTGTCCGCCTACTTACCCTCACATGAAGGAAGTTAGCAGAAGGGAAAGCAGTAGTGCATGTCTGCTCTGCCACGTTTCATACCTAATCTCTTCGCATGCTTTTCGCGTCACAGCAAAATGCAATTTTCTCAAGCGTTTCTGGGGACATTGTATGACCGTTTCGACTTGGGTAAAGTCACATGTGACACCATACCAATAGCTATAACAGTTAGTGGTTTGTTCCAGCTCATCAGGCACTGCGAAGCACATATCCTATTGGGTCATCACCTCACTGTTTTATAGGGATTAAAAGTCCCAGTTGGATTCTGGTCCAGGTATCTGTGTACGCCTTTGCTAATCACTGACTCACGTGAGTTGCGTTATGACTAGAAATGCAGGATCCGCTTCCCAATGTGATTTTTCGATTTTCTCGGTTCATTCGTTTCCGGTTACACCACCCCGTGTGATCAGCAGCACACGGAACACTCATTTTCTGTACTTCAACTTTTACTCATTGATTTTGTGTCCGAATTTCAGATTTTCACGAAGAAAATGGAGAAGCTTTTCAACAGTAGCAAACGTCGACAACGTGACCTTCGTCACAGGGACATATTCGAAAAAGCTTTGCCCGAGGTAAAACGAAATCGTGAGGACAGAGAGATAAGTGCATCCGAAGGAACTCGGCCAGTGTCAACCGACGGAGGTAGATGTTCTCATTGGTTATTTATCTTAGCATGCTTATCTATTGTCCCTCTCCGATGTGCTTGTATCCTGTTTTAATCAAAATTCGAAATGGTTTTGATGAATAGGGATTCCGTTGAATTAGAAGTGGGGTCATTTTCCACCAATATTACTGATGTTACTGTTCCTAACAATTCGGATCACAAGGGACTAGAAAGAAAATGGACAGGTCTGACTAACTACACCTCGTATGCTTTTGATATTTCTAAACAACTGATTTCCGGCCGTACCTTCGTCTTGCGTGAAATTCATACCTGAGTACAGGCGTTCTCTTCTCACACTCATCGTTCTCATTCGGCTAGTTTGAAGCTGTCTGAGTCGTGCTTGGATTCATGCAACCATGTTTAGGTCTCCTGTTTGTGTGGTCACTGGCCTTCAGCGAAGGCTGACTTCACTAAGATTGCTCAGCTTTCACATGTTTTTTTTGGTTTTCCGTATTATTTTCTGGAAACCGTTTTTTGGCTACATGCCACACTAGAAGGATCCTTGTGAACGGTAACATTCGTGATCCCTTTGGTTTATGTCTCAACCATCACACAGACACTGTGACCTTCCATATGAGAGCCGGGCTAGTTTTTATTGCAGCTAACCTCGATGGAAAATCGCTAATAATAGTAGTACCTCACTTGATGGACTGCCGTAGCCCTTTGATCAAATTCCCTGTTTTGCATTTTTTTGGTTTATCGAAATTAACATCTGTAGCGCTAGGAATCGCAAGTTACACATCAGTGACCTAGTCCCACCGAAGTGCTTTCTCTACAGACGAGATATAATGAGTAACCACGGCTTTAAATCGTGGTATCAACGGGTTTGGATATTGGAAGACAGCTACTCGTTAGTAGACGAACAATATCTACTGTTTGATACCACCGGTCTCAATTAAGTACCGCCTTTACGGATGTTCATCATCATCATCTTATAGCGAAATACAAGGAAGCGAACTTCACTGATCGCTGTCAAACTCAGTGCATATGCATTGGGATTTGATGGATGGATACTGCTGGGGTGT